TTTCATCATATTATGGTACATAGAGAATAACTTGTTGGAGTTGATTGCAGGTGGTTGGAGCTGTAGGATTCATGAATCAGCGGTTAGATATCCCGAAGAATGTTAATCCACAATGGGCTTCTATAATCGAGAGCTGTTGGCATAGGTTTGCATCTTTGTTCATTCTGCCATCATAATTTGTTTTCTTGAAGAAAATAGCCTTGAGGAATATATTGTCATGTCAAAAACATGTGCTGAAGATTATGAATTATTCTTATCATCATTTGGAGGACTTCTTAAGTTATAGCAGAATAGTCCTTAGCAAACCAGACTGATGTTCGTGACATTGAAGGTTTTAATAATATGGTTAGTAATGAAACCATTTTAGGAAAAGGAGGTTGGAGTCCAATGCATTTTATTTAGAAGTGACTAATAAGTATTATTGGCTGAATTTGATTCTCTCGACTAAATTTTTAGATAAGCTTATCCAATGACTTGATCAATTTGGCAGCAACCATTATTTTTCCTATTACTATGGCGTTGGGGACAGCTTGTGCAGCTCGACTATTTCACCGACTACCTGCTACCCTCCACCAGCACAGGGTGGTCCTTTACCTACCAAACTTAGTCTAGGAAGAAATAACATAGTTTTTTTTGTTTATACTGGAATTTGAACCCTTATCTCTCATGGTCTTCACCTACTTCATTGGATGCCACGTCACACCCTTGGATGCGGCAACCATTTTTGCTTTTAGTCACGTTAACTTCACTCATCATTTGAACTGAACTGCTATCTTACTGATAAAAGAAACCTTCTTTTCAACTGAGCTGATAAACGACCTTACTGTTTTGTCCAACTCAGTGAGCCACAATCCCGGCCTTCATTTCAAGAACTAGTGGAGAAACTTAAGGATTTGCAGAGGCAGTATCTTATTCAGGCGCAGACAGCACGTAATGCTGGGGGAGATAGCAGCCAGAAGGAACAGTAAATACATTTGTGCTTGAGTTTCATCTGAAGATTGCTAGGAGATGCATTGCTAACTCTTCAAAGTGTTATGGCTGTCTCGTGAAAGTTGGTCAGACAGAGCACACAAATGGCTTGTGTTGTCGGATCCTAATTCCAGAGGCAAAAATGACAGGATGGCTGTTATTATAAGGAAGTCTGGTAGAGAAAAAACAGCTGCTCTTTTAATGGATTAGTTGAGTCAGTCGGTGACTACATGAGTTCTAACATGATTCTGTTCAGTGAATTCACAGTTTGCATCGTTAAATGTCTTGTGGTGTGAAGTGAATTCCGCTTAAATCACTGTGTGTTTTATATGGTTACGGCATTCAAATACTTGTATATTGAATGAAAAATTAGTGTTCAAGTTAGTACATTTAAGTCTTAGAAGTTATTTATTTTCTGATCTTTGCTGTTGCTCCTTTGAATGCAACCTTAAATTTGTTTGTCTAGGGCACCACACAAGGCAGTAGCCAACGAAGTGATACTCTTTTTAAGTCTCATTGAAGTTTAGCAAGGTGAGTCTGTAACAGAGACTCTCATCCTCAAAAGTACCAACCTAATGCATTTGGGGATTCAGTATACGTTTTCTGTTTTTCTTTCTTTTTTTAACAGCGGTGTTCGAGTCAAGCAACTCGACTATCACTAGAGACCTGCTACCTTACACCAGTACAAGCACCGAGTAAATCTACGCTTATGGAAATGGAAAAGGCCAACCAAGCATTATTTCTCTGCTGCAATTTGAACTTGGTTTCCCATGGTATTGACCTACTTTATTGATTGCTAGGCCATACCCGTAAGTAATTTCACATATACTTCACAACATTTTGGATAGCTCTATTCCAAGAGCTGAATATGGAATGGAAAAAGGGCAACCTTAGAGATCAAGTCCTAAGAAAACCAAGATTTCCCTCGAACTTGCTCACTATCTCACACGTTTAATTTTTCCCTTCAGTATTAGCAATGACCAATCGACGTAGCATAAACATTTCATAGTCTCTTTGTTAATACATTTCGGAATGAAAACAAAAATTTCTGGTACTGATTCTCTTATCTTTTGCATTACATTAATTCAGCAAATGCCTTATTGCAGCTACAGCATCACCTTTATGTTCTCTCAAAGTCCTTTCAGCAACCTTCTTGTCCACCTATTCCACAATTAAAACACCATGACTCATGAGAGACTTAAAATAAACCAACAGAAAACAATAGGTATAGATGTAAGAGGAAACCAACCTCTAGTTCATTTGCAATTATATCAATATCAGCAGCATTTATCTTAACAGCAGCTAGTTCCTTTTCCCTGTAATGAACACAAATTCTTGATGTCATCTAATTTATCAAGGACTGAGATTTCACAAGAAGCATTAGAGACATTATCAGAGCAGGAAAAAGACACTGAAATAGATTCAAGAGCTAAGCACACATATGGAAAGGTAATATTGCTGTTTATATGAATGTCATATACTTGTGCCTAATATGTCTTTTTCCCTTTGCGGATCCGAGAGACAACAGACTAAATCTTAGTGGATTGTGGCAACAATTCCACTCTACCATTCTGTCACTCTTATCATTTTCAGTTTAAGTATGAGAAGACATCTCAAACAAATTCAATTATTTATTTTGGATTAAGTCGTAGTCCCTTGCACATATCAAGTTATCAACTAAGGCCATGTGGAAAAACTTGTGGACAGCTCATCTATATAATAAGGTTACCCAAATTGGAATTTACAAGCAATGCTTCCCAAATTTCGCGTAAGGACTTGAGAATTGCAACTTCACCTTACCAAATAGTCGAACACTCTTCAACTCTCACGAAGCAACAAATTCAACTCAATGCACAGTACAAACACCTTTCATATAAACAAAGAAGTATTTTGGGTATGATTAACAAAAGAGATTCAGTGATTAACAACAATCATCATATAATCAAACAGCCTCTATCAAACAATTATTTTATCTCTGATTACAAAAAAGTCTTACTGTTTTAATTATAAAAACTATAATACTATAATTTTTAAATATGTAAATCTTATTTAAAAAAAGAGGAAATAACTTCTGAATGTACTTCAAAGTTTAGATGATGTGATGCTTGTATTTGTTTGAGTGATAGAAACTATTAAGAGTCAAACCCATCCACCAACTTCCCAGCTACCAAGATTTGAAAAGGCTATAGCCTAATTATTAGTGCATCAATTTTAAAATATAATTTACATTGTTATGATCTATATAAAAGATACTACTATTAAGAAATATTTGAAAGGGTCTTTGTTAAGGAAAATTACTGTTTGACTCTCCAAATAGTAATTCTCAAGATACTCATTCATTAGCACAAGCAACTAAATCACTATATATTTAGAAACAGCATAAAAACAAAACATATATACATATAACAAAATTTTATTGGTAAAAATATTTGAAAATAATACAGTTAAATGAAGGGATAAAATGCGCTTTTGATCCTTCAATTATTGATAAATTCTGATTTTGATCCTTGTTATATTTGGCTAAGTATGTTTAACCTTAAAGTAAATTAAATGTGTGAGTTTTGTCTTTTATATAGAAAGTATGTTGCATATAGGTTATTTTTAGAACAATATTGCCTTCAAATAAGAAATAATATTACAAATTTAACATAGCACACGGCTAACTGAATGGTTTAACAGTTAATAATTCATTAAATTTTGAAAATTCAAAAGTAGAGGGATCCATCAAAAGTGTACTTTATGGTTAATTCAATGGTAAATATACTTAATATCAGATATCAGGACTAAAATCAAAATTTGTCAATATCTCAGGGACTAAAGGTGCAAATTTCCCTTAATTAGTGAACAAACCTCATCCTCATAGCTTGAAGATCAGCTTCCTTGGATGCATAAATTGAAGCCATAGCCTAAAGACACAATTTTTCAGCATTAAAAATTGAGCCAAAAAATGTCAATAAATACAAAAAATATATATACTGAAGCAAATTCGAAATTGCAACTATTCGTGTAAAAAAATGAATTTTGATGTGAAAAAACGGTACCGTTTGAACACGAGAGGAATCGAGCTGACGATCTTCGACATGGTCAGTGAGCTTATCAAGGGCTTTGCTTTGCTGCTGCAAATCCTTTGAGTCCACCATCTCTAGTGCTTCGTCTCCCGCTTCCATTTTTACTTTTTTTGCTTTGACTTTCAGATTCTCTTTCAGTTTCAGAGAGTGGAGAAGAAAGTGTTCACCATTGTAATTGGAGCCCTAAGATCTGTTATTCCATGGGCCGGATCTGGTATTTGGGCTTTGAAAAGCTCTCTTGGACTATTGTTTGACTTTGAGGTGTAATACTAAAGTTTTTGCAAAAATAGGATATTTTGGTTAAAATAACACGGGATAACCAGTTTTTGGATTGGTAATTGAAAAATAGCTAGAGTTTGTAAAATCATCGAAAAATAGCCACTATTTTGCTGAAACATGGAAGTTATAGCATAATATGCTGGATTATGGAGCTCATGTGTATAAACTTCTAGCATATTGTGTTGGAACTCCAGTACACGGAAAGTTCCAGCATAATATGCAGGATTATGGAGTTCATGCGTATAAACTTCGAGCATATTATGTTGGAACTCTGGCATATTATGAATTTTCAGTACATTATGCTGGAATCTCATGTGTAAAAAAATCGAACTCCAGCATATTATACTGGATTTTTTCCGGATTTTTAAAGGTGTTTGTGTTTAGATTTTTTTTAACATGAAAAGTGGCTAAATTTTGATTACTTTTGAAACTGTGGTTATTTTTCAATTGTCAGTTGTAAATCCGGCTATTTCTGATTTTTCCCCTTAATCCAATAAAAGCATATTAAACACATAGATTCACCATTTACACAAATAATCAATTGAATTCACTATTTACTTTTCCTAGCCAGTATTATCTAGGGTCTCCCTTGCTTTCCCCACTTTTCTTGAATTAGACGTGCAGAGTTTAAAAACTGCACCTTTCTTTTTGGAACACAAAAAGCATCAAAATAATACATAACTGTAACTATAATCATAGATGTGTAATTATTCACTATATATTCCGTGTGAAACTTTACACTAACTGTTTAAATAACTAAAATGTTTAGCCAGAGGCATCATAATTAACACAAGATGCACTTCATGGCTAATAGTAAGATTAACTAATAAATATATTCGTCTATCTTCTATGATCTGTATATCATTTAAAGAGGCAAATTAATTTATAATCTTCCAAAATAATCAATTTTAAAGCCAAGCTGGAAGCCATTCTTTGCCTTGGATGAAATCTACAGAGAGAAATGGCATGGCTTCTTTGTCATTCAATTGCTTTGACCATGGGGCACGACCTTCTGCACCAGACCCTGGTCCATAGCACTTGTATTCAGCATGATATAAATTCCTGCACCAAGTTACATTATTGGAATTAGTCGGGTTCAGAATTTAAATTTAATGGATTCAATATTTATATTCTTATTGTTGAACTATTCGAAATTATAAGTTCAAAATTAACATTTATTAAACTTTTAGTAAATTTTCATATATATTGACCCTTCGTGTCAAGAAATTGAGTTCAGTTGAATCAAACAAACCAGGCTATGTCTGCCTCTGGTTAGTATAATTGCGTATGAAGTACCACTATCTCAAATGTTTTATTCAAATAATGTGTTCTAACTTATTTGCGGGTAAAGTTGTTGCCACGTAACTAGAAGGTTACGGGTTCGAGCCGTAAAAACGGTCTCTTGCAAAAATGAAGGGTACGACTACGTACGATAGACCCTTGTAGTCTGACCCTTTCTCGAACCCCACAAATAGCGAGAGTTTAGTGCACCGTGCTGCCCTTTAATATGTTCTAACTTAGCAAAAGCATATAAGACTTAGGTTTCGGGATGAGAGAATCTTATACTAGGAGCAGGGGTGTAACCAGCTCTTCGGTAGCGAGTTCATCTGAACCACCACTTTCGATATGAAACATAAATTTAGGTGTAAAAATTTACTAAAATTACAACAAATAGTTGTATGAACTTATAGCTTTAACAATGTAATGAGTTCAATGCTAAAAATCTTAAAAGTTGAACCCATAAAGTTTAAATCCTGGATCCACTTCTGAATAGGAACGATAATAACCGATCAAGCCATTAGTCGTCATTTCGTTCAAAATTGATGCAACCGGAATCAAGGAAGGGGAGCCTTGGCGTAATGTTCGAACCGGGAAACAGTCTCTTACAGAAATACAGGGTAAGACTACATACAATAGACCCTTGTAGTCCGGTCCTTCCCCGGACCCCGCGTATAGCGGTAGCTTAGTGCACCGGACTGAATGCAAGCGGAATCAACAAGCCACTACATTAGCGGCTCATAAACTATATATGTTCGCCCATTACTAAATAAGTCTGTTCAGTGGTCGTAAGCTTATAAATCTAATAAAAAAAAATCTCAATTTAAGATATGAAAAGTTTATCTTACTTTGTTGATCCTGGAGAGCTCCAATTAGTCCAGCCTTGAGGTACAATTGTCTTAGACAAGTAAGTATGTGCAAAAATGACCCTGGAATAAGCCCCTTTGGCTCTTCCTAAGTACACACCTCCAATTCCATATACCTTTCCTTCAACAAACACAAAACCACTGTTTTCTTTGGCACTATATCTACTTTGTGCTGTCACTGAACCCTGAATCTCTACCCTTCTATCTGCAATTACAAATATCTCACAGCTCTGCAATATTTTACCAAAAAGAAAAAAAAAAGGGATCAAATGTCAATGAAGAGATAATATTTTCAGCATCATTTTGCAAGCATTGACTTTTAAATGAGTTTAACGTTTATGCACTGTAAAAGAATTTTCACCACTAACGGCCACGCAAAGGGTAATGAGTTTAACTTCTACATATTGATGGCATAAAAAGTATAAAAATTAATCAGTGTCATCTAAATATCTCATAGTTTTGTTGTTGGGCTGAACTAACATGTGTGCGATATTGTCCGTTTTGAAAAGTCTCATTTTTCTCCAAAAGCCCTCATACCATTAAGAGAATCACACACTTTATATGTCGCTTACCATTTTTTTCGGCTACCAATGCCGGATTTTGTTCACATACCCAATAACAATTTTTTTTTATTGTTTTACAAAAAAAGGGAAAAAACTAAATCAAATGTATATTGTATTTTAACTAATTTCAATCTCTATCAGAGGCGGATCCAGGAAATTAATGCGACGGGTGCATAATATTCTATTCAATCAGTTTCCCTAAAGGCTTTTAGCGTTAAGGGTGCCAAGTGATTTAAATTAACCATTTTCAAGGTGTACACATATGCATATACAAATTTTTTGCCGAAGTTTACGAGGTTCGGTGACCCCTCAACATAAGTCATAGATCCGTCTTTGATCTCTATACACTAACAAACTCACCTTATAAAAGAATATTATTAAGTCACCAAAAAGATAATTATAAATAGGTTACCTGTTATAAACGGATTAAAATATAATAATGTAAAAATTAAATAAACTGTCAATATATATAAGTTAAAAATTGATGAGTACAAAGCAAAGGTTGGAAAAAACTCACATGAAATAAAGATTGGCCACGGCCAAAAATGAAGTCTATGGAACCTTGAATGTAACAATCATCATAATAGTGTCTGCCTTTGTAGTCAAAGAGAGTGTTGTGAGAGCTCAAAAATGCACAATGATAGAAGGCAACTTTGTCTGCTCCAACCAAAGCTGCTACTGATGACTTGTTTTGTGAGGTAGAAGTTACACCATTAAGTGCTTGATTCTAGCAAAAAATCAAGTTCACAGTTAGCAATATTAGAAGAATTTTCACAATATGTCAATGTAGCAACACATTTATATTTTAGACAAGTTAGGTTAGGTAGGTTGTCTAGATCATACCCCTGGAGTACGGCCTTTTTCCCCCGGGCGAAGCTCGAACACGACCTACGAGTTCGGTCGAACCTAGTAGCTTTTATTCCAACTATGTATTTGTCTTAAAAAAATTCATTGAATATGCATAATTTATTAATTTAGAATTCAATAACTTAAACAAATTAGATTCCCAAACCCATAAACTTTAAATCTGGACTTCGCCTCTGCTTTTCCGGACCCTGCATGAACGTGGGACACTTCGGACACCGGACTGTCCTAGGTTAGATTTGGATATATGTGTTTGATACGATGAAAGTTATTTTTCAATAAAATAGAGTATATTAATTTTCACATAGGAATTTATTTTCTGATACTTGGTTATCAAACATGTTTTTTCAAGGAAAACATTTTCAATCAAAAGAGGTATAAAATAACTTCCCTCGCTGATGGACGGAAGCTATTTTTTCTTACAACAATTTTAACTTTTAATTTCGTATTTCTTGCTTCAACCAGGACTTAGCTAGGCATTATTATCAATTTTTAATTAGAACGCAAAATTTTAATCATAAAACTATTTATTTTGCTAATATTATTATCAATCTTTAATATTTTCTATAAAAACGACTTTCATCATATCAAACATATATTAAGCTTAATATTTTAGCTCAAACTCAAGTACTTAACGCACATACGGACAAAGTAAATATTATAAGCATGCATGACAAATATTCGCTAAATATTTAATAAATTAAAGTAGTATGATGGTACAAAAAAATTAAAGAATATAATATGAGGATGGATAGGAAATTATTATACCTTGAAGCTAATGCCAAAGGCAACGAAATTAGGAGCTTCAACTCTAAAAGTAGCAGATTTGGAGTTGTCTGTAGAACTTTCTGCCCATACAATTGATGTCCTACCTTTTCCATTGCCTCTCATGAAAATGTAGGGTTTCTTTGGAGGTACATGGACTTTTTCTCTGCAAAAAAAA